AGCTATAAAGTCAATAACGGATTCTACTTTGATCCTGTTTTCAAGTTCTGCAGGAACTACATCCTTTGACTACAGCAGTTCAAACGGTGACAGTCTCTTTAGTTCCAGCTCTCAATTATCATGCACTAATAAAGGGCCCGCAAGTGACTCCACTTTTGAACGCATATCGCTTATTGCTTATAGATAGTGTCTAATTCACCCTTAATATTATCAACACCTTCAGATCGTTGATAGAACTCATTATCAAGTTTGACACTGTGTCATCCAGCACAATTGTGATATATGTCCACTCCCACTATTATCTGATGAAACAGGAGTTGCGGATCATGGGGCATAGGTTCTAGCAGAATTGTTATTATCTGTAGAAAAAGGGCTTCTCTGGGCTCGGTTATTTTATGAAACGAACCATTTTTCTTCAAAGGTTAATTTGGGTGTTATTATTGAGTTATAAACTACGGTTTAACGGTATATAAGCACTTTATAAAAAATACCGTGCAATCGTAACGCAAACTTTAAACGTACCTCAAAAGTATTGTATTAGTATTGAGTTTATCAACAGTGCTCATCCACGATTCAACAAATGAAACTTGAACACACAACAGATGACACATGGTTACAGGGTTTCTCTCAGCTAATGCAAGATCCTCTATGAGTTGACAGCCAAAAAGTTTGTTTTGTATTCATTTTGTTTTCAGTAAAGTAGTCATCTTTTGTAAAATAAGAAATTCACTATTCTTTGTTCTGTGTGTCCAAATGATTATCGGTCAAATAAGCAACTCATTAATAGGAATTAATATTTTCATTCTAATCAATATTAATATCATGCCAAGTATTCCGGATATGGAATGCAGAATACCATAATAATTAATTAGTGAGATAGACTGAGGTGATTATTTTATAACGTACTGAGGTCAATGAAATTTTGTTTGTTAATAATGACTCCATAGGTAGATGAATATTTGATAACGATTAGTTCATCTACGGTGCTCACTTTGAATCGTCCAATGAGTAGCAAACAAACTTTTACAAAATCTATATAAACACGATAAGTTCTAACAATAATTATTACCGGTTTGTACAAGAGGATGAGGTGAGTGTTGACAGTACAGTTACGGTTATTCAGTCTATTATATGAATCAAACTTTGTTTTAATGAGATAGCATTAACATATCAGTCTGAACCATTTTAGGTGCACTCGTACGTCGGCTCATTTGACAATTTTCTATTCGATCATCGTCTTATTTTTGACATTTTGTGACTGTGATGACATTTGTGACGAACGTGCATCACTGGGTCCTGGAAACATTCTTTTTGAAAGTGATGCATATGCATATGTAAGTAATCAATCAAGTTCTAATACACATATTTAGTCTTATCATGGTTCTTATTTCCGGGTAATCCGCTTGAATCAGATGTCTCCGGTAGTTCCTCATAAGTTTGAAAAATTATCTTACAAGAAAGTGAGTTGACAACACTTTACAAAAGAAGTACTAATCCTTATGTTTATATATTTCCAGAAATTTGTTCCACAATTTAATTTTAAATTTCATGGCATTGATATCAGTGATGTTGAAATATCTCCTGAGCGTAAGGAAATGCTACTAAATTTTCTTTATTCACACATCATTCCATAAATCAAAGTTGTTGTTATGCCATTAGTAAATTAGTTTCAAACATTTCAGATTATCGATCAAATTGCTTGTGTTCGTTTGATGAAAATAGGTACGATGAAAATTTATGGAGAAAACGAAATAGGAAGTATTTACAATGCCTTAGATTACACCGTTAAGTTTGGATGTGAATTTTTGAATGAGAGTGAGTTCTTCCATTATTCAATGATATTGTAGTATTAATTTATATGCTAAGCTCATATACTTTATTCTAGTTACTGGCCAAGCCAATTCACCTATATATTAGAAGTCATATTTTGATCTTGTTCATTATTCGCTTATTAACCTTGACTATATTTTTATATGAGCGTATATATGTGCATACTTCGTACCTTATTCATCATATGTCTGTCATTCATTTTTTGTCTGGCTATAAATATTAATTAACGCTTGCTTAAAACGATTTGACTTCCCTGCCATCTCCAATACGCGTCATGTATGCTTCGCTACCTTCTGTTTGTTTCATCTCTCTGATTCCCTGACCAAATCAATGAGTGTAGAAATTATATGTGTTCTAAATCCATTCTCGTATTTGACTTATTTGACTCTGTTATTCACCAGTGCGGATTAAGTCATATATTACATACAAGGATAGACAGTACCTATATTTTGACAACAAACAATTATCCATACGATCAAAGAGAATCAGATTTATGGCATTACAATATTTTGTTCAGTGTTTGTATTTCTCAAATTCATTTTGCAGTAATCATTCATTATTCAACCTGATTATTTCACGAGAGCTAACCAGTATACAATGATTACTTTGTTTGTATTATTTCTTGACCAATAATGCGTTCACAACACGTATTCATTGCTATAATCTCAAACTTTTGGATAAAACAGCGATTCACTTAAAAACAAACGTCAATTGATTGAGTAGAAATAATTTGTAGGATGATATACCTGGTTAAGTTGAAATTATCAAACCTACGCTCTATTTAAACTACCATGAATCAGATTTATAAATCAAACTGACCTTAATTATAACAATAAAAATGATGTTGTGGTAGAAATCAGTTAGGATTATTGGAGAGTATGAACAATCAAATTATAATTGATATCCTCCAGATCTCTTCTGTCACATTTTTCGTTTTGAAGGTTTGATGTCTCACAGAAGCTCACTGTGAATCACTTTATAATCAACACTTTCTTGATTAACACAATCGTATGACCTTCAAGTTAGAAATGTATCAAAGGGACTAATTGCTCTAAAAACCGTTTTACTTTCATTATTTTAGAGGAATTATTCGCTGTCAGATGGTCGTTTTTCACAAAAATTGAAAATTCACGTAAGCAAACAGTTAAATAATCAATCGATGATAATATTCACACCATCATTCATAGTAACTACACACACCTCATCCATTCAGTTTGCGTCATTCAATTATTCAAAAAAATCGACAAAATTTAGAAAACTATGGTAAAATTATACATGGACAGCACTGATTGTTCGAACACATGGATTGAGAAATACAGAAAAGGTCATATAAACTAGGAAAAAGTGGATTTCACGATTTATTGACAGGCCGAAAACAAACATGACGAGAAATCTGGTCTAAAAAATACTTTTGTGTTTATCAAAATCTATTTCTGGATGCATCACATCCGTTCAAACATTCACTCACTGCACATTGTTAGATTTTATTCTTTCAAACTATTTGATCGTAAAGACGATATGTATTAAGCTATTCACTTCCCATCAGTAACAAATATTTTGATCACAGTCATTTGATGGACAAACATAACAATAGGTTACATAATCAAATAACTTCCAGAAGTCTATTTGTAAACAAAAAACTCCACAGCTCATGCCGATTGATCCTAGAGTAGGCTGTATCCGGCGCCAATGTGTGGTTCACTCCAACTATCAGATCCATTAAAACTTTGATTAATAATTGTTTCAAATTGAAAATGAGGATGTAATACGGCCTCGGAATCTAGTCCTTCGGCATTTATTTTGAAGAATGCATACTTGTTTCATTTACACGACATTCATTAGATTATATCTAATAATAATTCAACTAACAAAACATTTGAGATGACACTTAAATATCTGCTTGAATTTGATAACGTTGAGGGTAGGAACATACAGTGTCACATCTGACAATTACACGCTCACTATGAAACTTTAAATTGTACTGTTCCATAAACTTCCTTTTACAGATTCTGTAGCCAAGCTGACTGTTTTGATACAAAAGAATGGGAAAATATCATTATATTATGACGACGTAAGTTGCTCATTTCACTAGAAATATGGTGTTGTATCAAGAAGTTCCGCTTATCCTACCATTGTTTTGAATACCGATATTGTCCATTACATCAAGAAACATTGAATAAGATAGAGAGAAATCAACGTCTTGTAATATTAAAACAAATGAATTGACACTATGTATAATCCTTCAGTGGCACACAATGTTTTAGCACATTTTAAAATAAGTGAATAGAAGTTACATGACATCTACAGAAATTCTGATATCTTGGCGCCGACTAAGGTCAAACAGTATACGTCAGAGTACTGTACAGGAACAGCTATATTCTACCAAGCGTTACTACTTCTGGTGATTATGAAGTGTTTTGAAAACACGATATTGAGTATTTTAGATGATTTCTTTGTGAAAAAACTGATGGTTTACACGATAGAACCAGACCAACGGTTCGCGATATGCCAAAAGAGTATACGAATACGTTCAGCATCTGAAGATACATTAGTCAAACATTATACTGCAAAAATTTTGAAAGTAACCGGTTGATGAAAGTAGTAATTCGTTCATAGTGTGCAGTAATCCGATTGTCAATATTTGGCGTTTCACAGATTTCAAATAAAATCATGTTGGATAACTAGAAAGTAGTTGATTAGATGAAAGATTTCATCTGTGTTGTACTGAATCGCTTTCGATTGTTTCTACGTTATCAGGACATATCATAAACTGAATTCTTTCGGCAATTGAATGGTACTGGATGGAGGTGAGCGCGTCAACACAATTCCACCACATGACAACAAATTCACGTGCAGCAATATTGGAATAACTCACTGTCACATATATATCAACGGACGTAGATATTTATTTCACAATATATCGCTCCAATCAAAGAAAGATATTTTTTCATCGAACTTCAGTCAGGTCTACAGGTGTTGTGAGTCAGCATATCTCTGTAAACTAGATGAAGGATCAGTATGCGTACTGTGAGTGTGATCACATGTCCATGTGTAATATGATGTGGACGACAACACATTAATTCTTTGATGAGTTGGTTTTGATATAGGTGATTGTGTGTTGATAAATCTTGACTCCAACTCTCATTAATTATTTCCAGATTCCTCAAGCAATGAATAAATTTGGAAAGATATCGACCATTGCCGCATTAGTTCCTTGTGGAAAAGGTAATGAACATTATTCATATTATGATTTAAACTGACCTACATGATCAATCATCGTTTAGCGTTATATTGATTTCTGTTTGTACAGCTTTATCGGTATGCCAGAACAGAAATTCACCGTGATCTATCATAGTGGTCTAACATACCTTTCTTGCAGTCTACATTATTCAATTGTTTTTTGTGTAAAATGAATCGGTCAAGATGTCATTGAGATGTTGATGGAAATAGTGCAAAATGAAATCAGCATATATTTTCTGAACTCTCTGTCAAAACGTCTTTGTTTATTGTAAATGAAACGTCAATTAGTTGTTTGCACATCTTGAACGGAAAGTGAAGTATCATATGTGATAACGCTTTACAGTGAGAGCACATCCGGATATTGTCCTGCGTTTCTGACTACGTCTTTTGTACTGTGAGCCATCGAAATTACCTGAAATTATTTGTTAGGATGTTGTGTGATCGCGAATCTATCTGTAATCAGAAACGAAACAATTACATATTTCAACTGCTCTTTAAGCGAGAAAACATTTTATTTCAGTAAAATTATCAATCAAAATTCTAACGTCCTCCTTCTGTAAAATTCATCGCATTAGGTGACATAGGGATCAGTTCAGGTGTTTCTCTAAAATGGATCACAACTGGAACGTTGGTGGAATATGAAGTTGCCGGTGGTATGTTAAACCTTATTTTATTTCAGTTGACTGTTTGCACACCTGAATTTATCAATTTTGTTCTGGAACTCAGGAAACCTAATTTCCATTTTACGTCAGTTCTTAAATCCCAACCGTTGTAGCTACTCTGACGTGGTTGTCGTGCTTGCCTATTCGCTGAAATACTTTTTATTCAGAATCGATGAATTTTGATGATCCAACAAAATGATCTGCTAGCTGACATTAAACAGACTAGTATAAGACCGTAGAATGTGAAACTATACATCACAGGTGGTCTACTAAAATCTCTCCATGAAAAGCATCAACTATGATTTGAAAATAAATTTCACTTTCCATTTCTCGTTCGATTGAACTCGAAAATGTATTTTCTATCTGAGAACAATTGACTTTCTTGAAACACTCTGCAAATAGTCAACGTGAGTTCGCAATGTAATTCTCTGCCTTGCATATTTTGAAGCGGTAAACAAGACGTATTCTAACCATGAATGTCTTATACGGGAACAAAATGCGACTTTTGATACGCTCCGCTAAACTTAGTTGCAGGAGAGTGTGTGCATTTCTGGATGTAAACAGTCAATGAAGTTCACTGAATTTTCCTGGAAATACTCATCGTTCTACATTCAACGTTGTCTCATTCAGTTCCAAAATGTGAAATGCGAATGACGTTGAAAGTGAACTGAATTTCGCACTGCTCAATGTGATGAGAAAACTTCGGTGAATGAAATGGCCAATTTACTGAGACATAAGCATGTTATAATTGAGTTATGGTTGCGTGTCTTGTAATTCACTTATCTTTTGTTTGATAACTTGCAATGCAATCACCTTATTCATTTCTATGTAGATTGTCCCACATACATGTCGCATAAACAATGTGAAGATGCATCAACAAAAGATAGTGTGTGTCTGTGGTGTGATAAAGTGAACATGTGCATTAGCAGCAATGATGAAGAAACTCGTTACATCAAAGTAAATGGTTGCGGGAATGTAGTAAGTCATTAATAGACTTCACAGGTTGTTTTCAATATGACCATATTGCACATTGTAAATCTGATTATATGAAAGAACATTTTATTGTAACGAATATGTATAGAGTTGTATTTTCCAATCAGTGCATTATTCAAAGCATTGTAAATGATGAAAATACTTATTCAGATATGAGCACAATGCTTTAGTTCTATGTAAACATTCGACAGGGAATAGAAGCTCTGTTTCACTCTCATACTTTGAAACATGTTGCTTTTCAGCTCACACGATTTGTAGTGAGTAACGATGTTCAACATAGAACCAGATATCTTCGTGAACTGTCGAGTAATATCGATGAAACAAGTTTGAGTGATGAAGCGTAATCTGTTGAAAATTTGCTAGTGTGTCTGGACAATTATTACAAGTTTTATTTTCCCGTTGATGTCGACCGAAACACCTACTTCTGATTCTTTGTTGAGAAATATGTATCCTGTGTGTGCTTCAATAATAAAACTGTCAGTTGTGAGTTTGTTGATCATAATCCAGACTACGATAAGGTGTGACATCCATGAAACAAAAATTATCACACATATATATTTCATCAGTTTGTTGTAGGAGAATGTGTACTTATCACATTTCTGTCGATTTGGAAGCAGATATTCTACATCGTTATTCATTATTCACACTGTGCAAATGTAAAATGCGAAACTATTTCTGACATTATGTATAATGAATGATGAATTATTTGATACCGAGTAACATTGCCACTGTTTTTTCTTTCACAGGGTAGCTTGAATGTCAGCGATCCAAGTGAACCCACACCTAACAAACAAGAAGTAACCAATGAAGAAGACATTGAAGCTGAATCGGAAAACGATTTGAAGAAAACTACTGAAAAACATGAACCACATGTGGTAGATACTTCATATTCATTATCATTGCCGTTGTTCTGTTCTTCAGACGGTCTCAATTGTCAGTGTTTCGAGTGAACCAACACTTAACAAACAAAGAGAAACAAATCAATTATTCAAAGGAGGTGATTTGGGAAAGGTATCAAAGACAATTACTAAAACAATTCAATCTCAATCTGTAAATATTTCATATTTTGAATTGATTTTACTGTTTTGATTTCTTTTCAGAATGGAACTGCAGAAACGACAGAAGACAAACAAGGAAAAAAGTCCCGCAAGCTACTCTATATTATAATACCAATAGCTGTCTCTTTCGTTGTTGTATGTATTGGCTGCGTCATAGGCATATGGTTACACAGAAGACAGAAAAACAATCCATGATTCCCATAAACATCGTGTCAATTTTTTTCCCTATGCCGTCTTCATTGTTTTCATTTTGGTTTTCTACTAAACACACTTGCTATTTTGTTAATCACTTGAATAAATAAGAATGTTTTTCACGGAAATGCATATCATTCTCTTCAATGTTTACGTAATTACTGGTATCATTTTCTTGGTAGATTAAAAATATGGTTTTTGATATTCATGTGATTGTTCTCATTCAGTTACATCTGATTACTTTAATAACAGTTAACAACATTGACCTTGTGAATTACCAGTATCAAGTATATGTGATTATGTGTCAGTTGAAATGAACAATGGTTTTGTTGTGAATGTCCATTTTGTGGACATCTGAATAATGGAAAATATCATTCAAAACTGACGACGTTCTTCGTTTAAGCCAAACTGTCGGAATATCACATCAAAAGGTAGTAAGACTACTCAATCCTTAGTCACTGAATTATTTATTGTTTAATGAAAGCTGGATGACAGGCTGTTGGTAAATAGGTGTTATGACTTTTCAATATGAATTAATACCACAGTACCGTTGATATTGAAGTAGGAATGAAGAAAGATGTAGATTGAATGAACTAATTACAGTTCTGTAGAAGCGTTCGTAAACAAGATAACATATTTGAAACACATAAACAGTGAAGTTTTCGCCTTATTGTACTATGACCAAACCGTCATATGCGAACTGCTAAGTGAATGGTTTTCACAGAACGGGAATACATCTAATGCCTCAGATTTTGTCATAAAAAGCATAAGCAAAAGCTATATTAGCACCATAAACTTTGACATCAGGAGTATATATACCGCCATCAAAACCCTTAAGCCGAATGCGAGCTCTGGTGTTGATGATATACCATCAATTCTATATAAAATGTCGGGGCCGGATATACATACGTTATTGCTCAAAATATACACACTATCATTAGAGGTGGGTACATATCCTGAAGCCTGGAAGGTAACGTATGTTCTTCCCAAACACAAATCAGGACCGAGAAACCTGGTCGGAAACTACAGACCTATAAATATCACGCCAGTTATTTCGCGCATAATGGAAAAAGTGATACAAAGTCAACTATCAGATCACCTACTTAAGGAAGAACTAATAGACCCAACACAACATGGTTTCATTAGAACAAGATCATGTAGTACGTGTCTGATAGACTTCTTTAACGAGGTTACTCGCATACGTGACCAGAAAAAGCTAGTGATTATTCTTTATTTCGATATAAAGAAAGCCTTTGACAAAGCACCTCATAATCTTCTAATCAACAGACTCCAGTCAGTTGGAACAATAAACCCCTATTGCAATGGATTAAGTCTTTCCTCACAAACAGATACCAAGTAACCAAGCTTAACTCTACAACAACTACACCTTGATCAGTAACCAGTGGTGTTGTGCAGGATAGTGTCTTGGGTCCATTGCTGTTTATAATCTATATCAACAATATATGCAAGTGCTTTACCACAGGTAAGACCTACCTTTACGCTCATGACTTAAAAGTTATCTATAATATTGACATTGACGATGTACGTAGTACTATGCAAACGATCCAACATGAACTCAACAAAGTAGACGACTGGCGCAATTGCTGGGGGCTAGAGCTCAACACAGATAAATGCGGTTGGCTATGTGTTGGAGACACGTCTCTTAAAATAGGACTAGCACTTAACAAAAGCCCACTGCCCAGACTGACATTAGTAACTGACCTAGGGGTAAATAACTCATACAGTCTTAACTTCTGAGAACATTTCTCAACTAAAGCATCTCAAATGCGGAGATTGCTTTTCTTCATTCTTCGTAATTTCTTTCAAAACGAAACTGAAATCATCCTGTATAAAGCCTGCGTAAGACCCATCGTCGAATACTGCTCGTTCTTATTTTCCAACCTACGCCTATCTGATATACTTAAAGTAGAAGAAATACAGCGAGACTTCACTTGCAAAAAAATACTTAAGAACGACCAACTCACTGACTACAAATTCAAATGGCATATCTTAAGACTAGAACCCCTCTGAAAAAGAATGCTTAGATCTAACTTAATTCTTTATTTCAAACCCCTTAAAAACCTTACTTATTCCACATGTAATATAGTTCTATATCAAGACTCACATGGATACAACCTTCGAGACAAAGTATCCACAGTCAAAAATGAAAAACACAGATCAAAAACACGTGAAAACTTCTTCTTTATCAAGTACGCATTGATGTGGAACAGTCTGCCTTCTGAAGTACGCATGGCAGACAAATTACATACGTTTACAAGACTCATTGATCAAGCCCTCACCTGCATAGATCTGGTGCAAACGAACACATCCACGTCCCACACAGACATCATAGGCTCTCTACATATGTATACTGAATCGCATTATTTCCCTACCTTGTAGTTGTATTAGATACTTTCCCCTCCCTAATTTTTTTCAATTGAAGTAGACAGGCAACTCACTGGACCTATCAATACTCGGTCGCTAAACGACGCTTATAAATACCCTAAAACATCAGAAGAAACGCACAATCGACTGCCTACTGCCAGTGGTCGTACAACCACAGGACCTGTCACCCATCAACCGGTTAGCATAGAACAAAATAACCTCAGCGCGAATTTAGTGTGAGTTACTTCTTGTCTATTCTTTATCAGCTTTTTACTCATCTGTACACTATTTTGCCATGCCATTAATATTATTTCACCACTCATTATCTTACCTTATCTGTAACTAATATAAATCTACACTTTTCCGCCTTCTATGGTAAAGAAATATCCTACACTATACCCTTCCTATTGCCTTTACTCTGACTCGTAACCTACACTTTACTATATAGTCAATAAAATCATTACTTCGAAGCCTTACCCACAGTCCATAATTTGTAACTGTCTGATAAGCTTGTAACATGGTACTTATAGAAATTGTGTTTTCCAACAGGATGTGAAACACAGAGCATTGTGTGAGGTATGATATATATCCAGAGAATAAGCGTAAATGAGCTGAACATCACAAAAGGAGGGAGGGTGGAGTTACTAACCAGCAAGCACTGATGGTGTGGGCGATGATTTCAATCCACCCGTGTTTGTGGGGCAGAACATTTTGTTTGTATCAGGCTCTTTATGGATGAGAACAAGTCAATAGATCTGTGATATTGAGATCGTTCTCCTACACTCACCTTTCAGACTCATGTTTCTAATTTTTGTGTTTCTAATTTTTCTACTAACACAACCTCTAACATGCTACCTCGGACGTTTACATTAAAACTGTGTGGCAGGCATCGGATGATGAAAAACAACAGACTGTAAAGGATATGGTTGCTATTTTACTCGACACTCTACTCTCTATAGGAACTCTCTGTTCTTCCTCATACCAACCTTGACTTCCCTCCTTCATTGGAACCTACTCCACCTTGATAAATATCACAACTCATTGTTCTTTATTACTGCCTTCTCTCATCTGGAGCCATTTCACATTTCACTCTTGCAACATGAACTAGTATCAATTTAATCTAATAATTCATCATACCTCCATCTGCACCACTAATAAATGTTAAGCATTGGTTATCGTTCGTATCCAAATGCCTTGCTGCTCCTCGGTTTCTCTTTTTTTTCAGAATCTTGCTCTGAGGGTGAAGCTATGTAACTTCTGATTTCTGGAACAAGCTCGACGAACGCGCTTTCCCAAGGTCATAGTTCGAACCAGGCGCTCCACAAGCCTACTTTATAACAACTATAAAATTAAAAAGCTGCATTACATAAATACTTAGCACGACCGAAACCCTAATACACTTTTTGTCCAGATTGGATCTGGTATGTAACGTGGACGCCATGCCCCTTTGGAAACTATTCTTATGAAAACACATTATATCTGAACGAATGAACTGCTATCAACTTTTATAGATTATAATTACTAAACAAGCTTGCTTGGGATGCATACTGTGAACCAGTATGTGTTGTAAATTGTAGATCATGCCTGTAAAAATGACGTTTACCTGCTATTGCAGAAATACATTATTATTATTATTATTATTATTAATATTATCATTATTATTGATATTTTTATATCTAAGTAGGGATGATTTGAAAAAAAATCGCTGAAAAAGTCTTTAAACATTGTGAGTGCTTACTGTCTATAAAAGAATATGATTTTATCTATTTACTCATTTAATTCTGACATCCATCAGATTCATCAATTGAACGATAACGTGTCATCACCGGACTATCTTAACTTGAACAGATTTTCCACTAACCACTAGATGACTGCTATTTAAGGTTTTTCCCGTAGTTGATATCTTCTAACATTCCGTCACTCAACTTCATTACATTTTTACAATTCTGGTGAATTATCTAGCATTTCTCAATCTTTAGAAGCAAAGATGGATAGCACCTAGCAGTGCAATCGAGGACACTAGTGTCCTCCTACTTGAGACTCGTGTATGCATGAGAAACAAAAGTGGGCCTAATACACTTCCCTGGATGACGACACTAGTTATTGATCTAGGTAATGAGAGACAGTCGTTGTATTTTACCATTTGTTTACGTTCCTATAAGAATGAAACAAACCATGAATAGATTGGGTTGTTGATTCCGAAGGACCGTAGTTTGGCTAGTAGCCGTTTCTGTGCAACCTTATCAAAGCTTTCTTAAAGTCTAAAAATATGACTGATACAAGGAGTCCATTGTCTCTTTTCAGAGTTTTTTTCATTCATGTAGTCCACTAGGCATGTATCACATGATCTGGACCTAAGAAATCCATGTTGGGAGACCGAGATGAGATTATTAGTAATTACATGTGGGACTAACGTCGCCTTCACTACTTTCTCCATCACTCTAGACACCACTGAAGTTATGTTTATGGGTCGGTAATTTTCAACATTTGCTTCAGGTCTCTCTCTCTCTTCCTTCCTATACTATATCCTTATATACAACCTTTCTTTATATACTACCACCACTGAATTAATTACTTCTATGAATCCGGTGTTTTTTTCGCTTGAAAAAGCAACACTCACCTAACAATTTTCGGAATCATTTATCATCGAAATCGTGATTACATATGAGAACCATATATTATTGACTTCATTTGCGATATTCGACATTTTGTATGATAACACTAGTTCACGTAATATTTTTATTTACCCGTTTTTGCTGTTCAACTTGATCTTCACAGCATTCTGCCTATAGGTTTTCTACTTTCCACTGATGCTATATACTACTTATATGGACAGTCAAAAGTAGTATACAACATAGCAGTATGCTTTTACGTGCCTTGTTTCTCATGTTTTCCGTTACTAACTTAGGTTAATTAGAAAGATAGATATTCTGCTCCAACATGGAAGTTATTGAAAACCCTTCTATGCATGATATTGAACATGCAATCTCTGAGGCTTAAGTTGTAAACTATGAAAATAAACCAGTATATCATAATTCATTGTTTCGTGTCTTCAAATATCAGTCTGCATGATGATGTTATTCACATAGTTATCTTGGTGGTTCATGAAATGGAAGAACACTTTTACGTTTATGCTTTATAAAAATGAAATCTACACTGACTAAACAATATAATATTTTCTTATTCATTCATTGATTGGTTTGATATCATCAACAAAATGTTGACTAGTAGTTCGGATCATTGAAAATTGTTTCATTGAAAAAAAGATATTGGTTGATATTCTGTTAATTATTTCCTTTTAAAAATCCTAAACCTAAATTGATCTGGTTCAAACTGCTTGTAGACTTCAATATAATGGAGTTTTACAAATCGATATGGAAGAGAACATAAAAGGGTTTAAGGCGGCATATCTGATTAGCGTACTTTTGAAAACAGGCTATTCGATCTGCCATGAAGAAACGCAGTTTATTACAGAGTAATAATAAAATTGAAGTTTAGTTTAAGCCACCTCTGGTAGACATTAACTACAATCATTCATCTGTATGCTACGGTATGAACGACTAAGATGTAAGATTATCGAAGATAATTAGCAGGAAGATCGAAAAATAATTTTGCTCTAGCTCACATTTGCTGATCGGAATTATATGAAGCATAGATAGTGGAGATAATTTATACATCACTCGAACAAATGTCCCCTAGCCTTTTGGTCGAATGCGTCGACAACTTCACTTGGAAGTCTGATCAGCCCTAATGGTTTCGTGTCTGACGATATCTCAGCACGTCACCTATGGCGAAGACGAGATATCCGTCTATCAATTAAAGGACGAGTATACTGTGCAGCAGTTCGCTCTGTTCTACTTTACAGCTCTGAAACATGGCCATTAAGAGTAGAAGATACTCGTAGGTTACTAGTATTTGACCACAGATGCATTAGAAATATTTCTCGCGTCTGCTGGGATAACCGGGTAAGTAATAGTGAAGTTAGATGCAGAGTATATGGGAATGATGGTAAATTAGTTGATGAGGTAATGAATCTTCATCGACTGAGATGGTTGGGCCACTTGTTACGTAAGCCTGAACAATGATTACCACGACCCGCTATGCTGACTAGTATTAGGGATGGTTGGAAGAGAGTTATGGGCTGTCAAATCAAAACTTAGCATCAGTGTTTGAAGTCACTAACTTCTAGTCTGAGCCATGTTGATAGATGCAGACTACCTGGTTGGGGTCCGCGTGACTATCGTAACCAATGGTTGGAGACTCTAGGTGACATGGCTCAGAATCGATCACAATGGCGTAGGTGTATACACTCTTTATTTTCCCTGAAAATAATAGATTAAAATTGCTTCATATCTTTCTTCCTTCCTGTACTATATCCTTATATACAACCTTTCTTTATATACTACCACCACTAAATTAATTACTTCTATGAATCCGGTGTTCATCTTGTTGTGCTAACGAGGTATGGCAACTTGGACCGATGCATATACGTGCCTGGTCCTACGTTGTAGCTGACTGACTGAGTGATTGGCATGCCGTCATCTTCGTAGATTGTTTCACTCACACCAGACTTCTTGCTGCCAGTGGCTCGGATGAGTTGGAAGAGCTTCCGGCAGTTACCAGTTGCAGCTGCTGCTTCCATCTCATTAGCACGCTCCGACCACCAGGCTTCTCGGTCCTTACGCAAGCTTTGCCCAATTTCATTACGTAACAGCCTTCGTTTGTGGTCAAACTCCCGGTCACCCGGAGAAGACCGACGGGCTTCCATCAGTTGTAAGGAGCCAGAGGAAACCCAGTGCTTGTAAGCGGGACATTTCGCGAAGCCGCAAGCGGCTTTACTTGCCATTTTCATGGCGTCGTGAAGAAGCAACCAATGCTCATCTATACTTTTCGGTGGGATGGTAACTAGCCTAGAAGCTAGCTCCGCTCGATACTTACTTGGACCGATGCATATATGTGCCTGGTCCTACGTTGTCGCTGACTGACTGACTGACTGAGTTTTTTGGTCAAAAGCGTTACAAATCAGCTACAGAAACCTCAAATAACCTCCTTTAAGATAGGCACCGATATGACACAAAATAATGATAAAATTTATGGTAGTTCACATAAATTCTTATTCAATAAAATATATTCTGAAAATACTAATATTTACAGAATTCACATCCGTTTACAGGCATGATCAAATTGATAAACATAACAATACTTTATGTAGAGATTAAACATGAAATATGAGAAAGTTTTATGTTTGCTACTTCAGTAATTGATAAGTAGTTTATATATGGCATATATCACGGAAAGCCAATGCAACTCCAGAAAACATTTTATTATTTTTCTTAAGTGGATAGCCTGTTGATTTATGAACTCGTTTCTTTAAAGTTATTTCCAGTGCCAGAGCAAGCTATTGATAAATATCTACAACTAGAGAAACTGAGATTAAAGCAGAGAGCACGAGACAACAAAACAACAAGCAGTGATCAGTGGAGTTCAAAACCAAGTCTGTTGTGAGATAGGAACTCACTGAAGACAATTGGTGAACGGATGCTCAACTTCATGGATCAGTTGAAGTTAGACATTAACACCGTTGGATGCCGGCCGGCTCAGTGGTCTATCGGTTAAAGGATTCGGCTCGAGACTAGTAGGTCCTGGGTTCAAATCTCGCGAGAGTGGGTTCGTGGATGCGCACTGCTGAGGAGTCCTATAATAAGAAGAAACGGCCGTCCAGTGTTTCCAGGTTTTCCATGGTGGTCTAGCTTCCATTGACTCACGCTTTCAACTATGAAAAACAATGATTGCCAAAATATGCCGGTCAGGTTCAACACTATTCATGTTAGATATTATTCAAACATGTTAGAGTTGCCAGTGACAGTGTTAATGTAAAATGATAGCAAGTAAGTGGTTAAACATTTATGGTTCCTATATATATATTCGAAAATCCGTTCACGCATTTGACTTATTTAATTCCGTTATTCACCAACGCCCATTAAGTCATGTATTACATGCGATGATAGACAGGATGTATGTTTTGACAACAATCATTCATGTGACCTAATTGGAATCGGATCATGGCCCCATAGGTGCATAGCATCGTATAATATTCATTGTGATTTGCTTGAAATTTGTTTTGATAGATGAGTCAATTATTCAGGCTCCATAAGATTCTCATCCCATAAGTGCTATGCGTGCTTCTGTCGACAGCATTTGGGAAACTTTATGAGTTTGTAGAGCGTTTTCTTCATTAAGACCATAGTACACTAGAATCTATCCCGAAACAAACCTATTCTAATGGAACTGTTTTCAATGAGCTTTTCTAATATCGAGCAACACCAAGTTGTGTTTTCTGAATTCCATAATTGTTGACCCATCTCCAACACTGTCCGGGGATTATATGTACCAACATTGATTATTTGTTGCTCTGATCGTTAGGAGAGGAATCAGTCATGTGACTTTCGAAGCATCTCAACCTTCACCAATAAGCATCAGGTTTCATGTGAAGGAATAACATTCAAATTTCAGGTCGGAGATGGAATGGTATAATTCGTTTGATCTGATTATCAACTTTAGGTAGGTTCTTTTCTACATAGTTGGATTTCTGGCTTATGTCATACTCCCCACTTTCACCCTGCTATTTTGTTGGAAACCAAACAATTTATAAAGAGCTTAAGTAAAATATGGTCAACATAGCTTCGTGTAACCTTAATCTTCTGCAATATGAATGCAACTTCACGAAGAAATCGATTTCAATTATGTTGAAAAAGGAAAACAGTTTTCAATATCAATTATGTTGAAATTCATTAAACGTCAATTAATTTTGATTGCTCTCATTCAACGATGATGTCCAACTTTATTCAATAATAAATGGAAAGAAGAATTTGGTCAACAGTCAAATGTGTTCATCCAGAATATTAGGTGAGGATGAGTTTATTCGTCACTGCAATGGGCAATAAATAATACACAGATAGTGATGTGGCTTATATTATCAGGATTCTTTACCACAGTCTCATGGACCGATATAAACAAAATGTAAAAATTAATCAAGTCTCAAGGAATCATGTTTAATAATGGAAGTTACATAGGTTGATTAACTAAGGACGTAAAAACTGAAGTATGGTATACAAAAACTATCGTTAAACTCATTTCAAATTAGATGGTAAGTATGAATAGGGTTTATTCTTAGCTGAAGAAATGTATTCAGTGAATTGAAAGGCAAAAGATCTGTTTTGACTTCACTTGTGGTGTGATCTACTTATATCCATATAAATAGTATATGGTGTGGGTCAGACATAGAATGTATTTTAGCAGAAGACCGATGAGGAAAGAACTGGAATGAAGCGCAATCGTTTGGAAAATGCATGAACAATGGAATAAGAGAAGAAACAGTGAAGATTGAAACAATTGGTTGTTAATTTGCAAATTGACTGTTCATTGTTTGGTTATCAGAATTTACCGAGATAGTCTGTAATGTTTGTTAAAATACATTTGATTGTCCCCAACAAGTGTTCTGTTCACTACAACTTCACTTTAAGAAGTGTACTCATCTTTTGTAAAAAAAGAATTTCACCAACGTTTGTTTCGCGTGTGTGTGTGTGTGTGTGTGTAGGTGGTTATCAGTCGTAAGAATAGCTTATTAGAAGACAGTGAAATTTTTTTATTCCAAGATTCATATTATGCTAAATATGCCACGAAGAAAACAGAAAGTACCCGGTTTTTGAATAATGAGATAAAATGACGTGACAGCCGAAAACACAGTATAATGATTGCTACTTCAGTAAACAATTGAGGTCAACAGAAATATGTTTGCTGATTAGACTCTCTGTCAATTTTTAATTAGAATATAAAAAAATAACAAAATTTCTATTTTATAAAATTTAAAAAAATAATGTAACGTAAATGATAGAACTTGGTGTTCTGTTGTATTGAATTCAATCTGGTTAAAACTTGGATAGAAATCATAATACTTTAAAACGTATTCCCAAAGGTATACCATTGTGGGTCAGGGATGTTTTGATGAAGGGATGACTCGTTTGTACTTGATGACTGCCTGTTTTTCGAATTCCGATTATAATAAGTTTGTTCATGCTCACCTAGTTGTATTCTGTCTGATTTGCGTTATTTCAAGAATTCCTAGCCTGAACAGTAATTCAA